ACATCACAATTTTTTGCAAAAAATTGACAAAATTTAAAAGTTTTAGGTTTGAATGCCAATCGTTTGGCAATTCAATTACGAGCTCAGCAAGGTATGACACTCCGTTTTTGGATCATTATTTCCAATGTTTCGGCCAAAATACTGATATTTGAGGGTGAAAAATTTGGACTAAGATTTGAGACAAAATAGCCGATTTTTGTGTGGTTTTTTAGTCGTAATTTGGACAAATCAAGGGCGACAGTTAAACGGCCGACTGTTTTGAACATGTTACAACCTAAGCTATCGATCCCCATCATTTTTGGGAAAAATTAATTTTTCACCAATTTTCGAATTTTTGATAAGGGGTTACATCATAATTTTTTGCAAAAAATTGACAAAATTTAAAAGTTTTAGGTTTGAATGCCAATCGTTTGGCAATTCAATTACGAGCTCAGCAAGGTATGACACTCCGTTTTTGGATCATTATTTCCAATGTTTCGGCCAAAATACTGATATTTAAGGGTGAAATATTTGGAATTTTAGGCAAAACTAAACGTTTTTGGAACTTTTTACCTAATTAAGGAGCATACCTGGTAAGGAGGTCGATACTCTGCATCTTGGAGTCCAGTCCATCCAATTTATGAATCTCCTAAAATCACTTCACAACCACCAACACCCACACCAACTTCCGGTCAACTGATTTATCGGCTACCATAGCACCTAGGTCATGAATTTTAAGCTAGAACTAGTTGGGAATTATAAGTTCCCACCGAGAGAATTTTTTTAGATTGACATTATCGATGACGTGGCCCATTGTAAATTTCATTAGTTTTGCAAGTAACAGTCGTAATTTGGACAAATTAAGGCCGACAGGTAAACGGACGACTGTTTTGAAAAGCAAACAACCTAAGCTATCGATCCCCATCATTTTTGGAAAAAATAAATTTTTCACCAATTTTCGAATTTTTGATAAGGGGTTACATCACAATTTTTTGCAAAAAATTGACAAAATTTAAAAGTTTTAGGTTTGAATGCCAATCGTTTGGCAATTCAATTACGAGCTCAGCAAGGTATGACACTCCGTTTTTGGATCATTATTTCCAATGTTTCGGCCAAAATACTGATATTTGAGGGTGAAAAATTTGGACTAAGATTTGAGACAAAATAGCCGATTTTTGTGTGGTTTTTTAGTCGTAATTTGGACAAATCAAGGGCGACAGTTAAACGGCCGACTGTTTTGAACATGTTACAACCTAAGCTATCGATCCCCATCATTTTTGGGAAAAATTAATTTTTCACCAATTTTCGAATTTTTGATTAAGGGGTTACATCATAATTTTTTGCAAAAAATTGACAAAATTTAAAAGTTTTAGGTTTGAATGCCAATCGTTTGGCAATTCAATTACGAGCTCAGCAAGGTATGACACTCCGTTTTTGGATCATTATTTCCAATGTTTCGGCCAAAATACTGATATTTGAAGGTGAAATATTTGGAATTTTAGGCAAAACTAAACGTTTGTGGAGCTTTTTACCTAATTAAGGAGCATACCTGGTAAGGAGGTCGATACTCTGCATCTTGGAGTCCAGTCCATCCAATTTATGAATCTCCTAAAATCACTTCACAACCACCAACACCCACACCAACTTCCGGTCAACTGATTTATCGGCTACCATAGCACCTAGGTCATGAATTTTAAGCTAGAACTAGTTGGGAATTATAAGTTCCCACCGAGAGAATATTTTTAGATTGACATTATCGATGACGTGGCCCATTGTAAATTTCATTAATTTTGCAAGTAACAGTCGTAATTTGGACAAATTAAGGCCGACAGGTAAACGGACGACTGTTTTGAAAAGCAAACAACCTAAGCTATCGATCCCCATCATTTTTGGAAAAAATAAATTTTTCACCAATTTTCGAATTTTTGATAAGGGGTTACATCACAATTTTTTGCAAAAAATTGACAAAATTTAAAAGTTTTAGGTTTGAATGCCAATCGTTTGGCAATTCAATTACGAGCTCAGCAAGGTATGACACTCCGTTTTTGGATCATTATTTCCAATGTTTCGGCCAAAATACTGATATTTGAGGGTGAAAAATTTGGACTAAGATTTGAGACAAAATAGCCGATTTTTGTGTGGTTTTTTAGTCGTAATTTGGACAAATCAAGGGCGACAGTTAAACGGCCGACTGTTTTGAACATGTTACAACCTAAGCTATCGATCCCCATCATTTTTGGGAAAAATTAATTTTTCACCAATTTTCGAATTTTTGATAAGGGGTTACATCATAATTTTTTGCAAAAAATTGACAAAATTTAAAAGTTTTAGGTTTGAATGCCAATCGTTTGGCAATTCAATTACGAGCTCAGCAAGGTATGACACTCCGTTTTTGGATCATTATTTCCAATGTTTCGGCCAAAATACTGATATTTAAGGGTGAAATATTTGGAATTTTAGGCAAAACTAAACGTTTTTGGAACTTTTTACCTAATTAAGGAGCATACCTGGTAAGGAGGTCGATACTCTGCATCTTGGAGTCCAGTCCATCCAATTTATGAATCTCCTAAAATCACTTCACAACCACCAACACCCACACCAACTTCCGGTCAACTGATTTATCGGCTACCATAGCACCTAGGTCATGAATTTTAAGCTAGAACTAGTTGGGAATTATAAGTTCCCACCGAGAGAATTTTTTTAGATTGACATTATCGATGACGTGGCCCATTGTAAATTTCATTAGTTTTGCAAGTAACAGTCGTAATTTGGACAAATTAAGGCCGACAGGTAAACGGACGACTGTTTTGAAAAGCAAACAACCTAAGCTATCGATCCCCATCATTTTTGGGAAAAATAAATTTTTCACCAATTTTCGAATTTTTGATAAGGGGTTACATCATAATTTTTTGCAAAAAATTGACAAAATTTAAAAGTTTTAGGTTTGAATGCCAATCGTTTGGCAATTCAATTACGAGCTCAGCAAGGTATGACACTCCGTTTTTGGATCATTATTTCCAATGTTTCGGCCAAAATACTGATATTTGAGGGTGAAAAATTTGGACTAAGATTTGAGACAAAATAGCCGATTTTTGTGTGGTTTTTTAGTCGTAATTTGGACAAATCAAGGGCGACAGTTAAACGGCCGACTGTTTTGAACATGTTACAACCTAAGCTATCGATCCCCATCATTTTTGGGAAAAATTAATTTTTCACCAATTTTCGAATTTTTGATAAGGGGTTACATCATAATTTTTTGCAAAAAATTGACAAAATTTAAAAGTTTTAGGTTTGAATGCCAATCGTTTGGCAATTCAATTACGAGCTCAGCAAGGTATGACACTCCGTTTTTGGATCATTATTTCCAATGTTTCGGCCAAAATACTGATATTTGAAGGTGAAATATTTGGAATTTTAGGCAAAACTAAACGTTTTTGGAACTTTTTACCTAATTAAGGAGCATACCTTGTAAGGAGGTCGATACTCTGCATCTTGGAGTCCAGTCCATCCAATTTATGAATCTCCTAAAATCACTTCACAACCACCAACACCCACACCAACTTCCGGTCAACTGATTTATCGGCTACCATAGCACCTAGGTCATGAATTTTAAGCTAGAACTAGTTGGGAATTATAAGTTCCCACCGAGAGAATTTTTTTAGATTGACATTATCGATGACGTGGCCCATTGTAAATTTCATTAGTTTTGCAAGTAACAGTCGTAATTTGGACAAATTAAGGCCGACAGGTAAACGGACGACTGTTTTGAAAAGCAAACAACCTAAGCTATCGATCCCCATCATTTTTGGGAAAAATAAATTTTTCACCAATTTTCGAATTTTTGATAAGGGGTTACATCATAATTTTTTGCAAAAAATTGACAAAATTTAAAAGTTTTAGGTTTGAATGCCAATCGTTTGGCAATTCAATTACGAGCTCAGCAAGGTATGACACTCCGTTTTTGGATCATTATTTCCATTGTTTCGGCCAAAATACTGATATTTAAGGGTGAAATATTTGGAATTTTAGGCAAAACTAAACGTTTTTGGAACTTTTTACCTAATTAAGGAGCATACCTTGTAAGGAGGTCGATACTCTGCATCTTGGAGTCCAGTCCATCCAATTTATGAATCTCCTAAAATCACTTCACAACCACCAACACCCACACCAACTTCCGGTCAACCGATTTATCGGCTACCATAGTTGGGAATTATAAGTTCCCACCGAGAGAATATTTTTAGATTGACATTATCGATGACGTGGCCCATTGTAAATTTCATTAATTTTGCAAGTAACAGTCGTAATTTGGACAAATTAAGGCCGACAGGTAAACGGACGACTGTTTTGAAAAGCAAACAACCTAAGCTATCGATCCCCATCATTTTTGGGAAAAATAAATTTTTCACCAATTTTCGAATTTTTGATAAGGGGTTACATCATAATTTTTTGCAAAAAATTGACAAAATTTAAAAGTTTTAGGTTTGAATGCCAATCGTTTGGCAATTCAATTACGAGCTCAGCAAGGTATGACACTCCGTTCTTGGATCATTATTTCCAATGTTTCGGCCAAAATACTGATATTTTAGTTTTTCAGTTTCTAGTCGTAAATAAATACCTAATTAAGGGGCATACTTGGGTCATCATTCAAACGGTGTCAAACAGCTCGATATAAGGAACATATTGCTATCTCTCTCATTTATGTGTGCCCACAAATAGAAGGCCAATGGTAAATCCTAGCCACAATCACAAAATAATTCGTTCGGATCCCTAAAAAGTATGTGCATTTATTGACAATTTATTAAACTAAGAACCAAGAATCCTTTGACTATTGTTTTATCGAAAGCGATATTTGCTCTTGTTTGGATTGCCAATAAATCGATAAAAATCTTTTCTCTAAACCTGTTTTATTTTCCCTTTTCAAATAGAAAAGATGTGGCTGGAACAATAAAAGACGACACTGTCATTATTCAACTTGACATAACATTTTTCATAAAAATTTAATACAAACATTAAATTTACAAATATATATATAAAAACAATTCACAATCACATATAAATTTTTATCATTTTCAGATGTTAAATATTTCGATTTGCTATATTCCTCAAAGCAAGGTTACAATTTACTAGTCCAGAGCAAGAAAGCCAAGATCAAAGTTCTTGTTGGTACAATTTTATGTTCGCTGTTGCGTTGTCCATTGATCAATCAATCAGCTACGGATGTTTGTACGGCTCGTTGTTGACGAATACAGACTTCTGTCCGCTGTCGCATGAATATCATCATCACCGTTCTCATTGCACCTTCGAGGTTGGGACTCTGCTTTCTGCGCTCCTTTGCAGTGAAACTCGATCGCATCAATATCATTTGTACTCTCAATGTAAAATTCGTGTCCATGATCCGTGCCTTTGCCGTCGTAGACTATCCTGTTTATATCTGTGCCCACGTTACCGTCCAATTCATCCTCGGAATTATCACCATCTGTATCTTCGTCCTCGCCAATGTTAAAAATGAATCTTGCATCGCTGGTGGGCTTCGCGGACATGTTCTTTCGCCTGCCCGATGATGTGTTCGCTATTTTCCTATACCGCACTGAATTTCTGGATACATGGTTGCTATTACGCTGCAAGAAAGAAAATAAAAAGGTTTATTTCTTGTTTACTTTACCAGATTTAACTGATTGCCTTACCTGTAAAACAGCAAAGATGATAGAGAATATCGTTATGATCAAGAGGCAGATGGCCACAGCAATAGCTGTGATGGCCGTTAAAGGTGAGTCTAGTCGCAGGACAAACTCTCTGCTATTGCCATCACTCTTAAAGGATCCGCGCTCAGGTTCACCGCTTTTGTAGGCACTTCCACTGCCGATAACCGTCCGCCGTTTGCCGCCCGTAGAGGTAGCCTTGCACTCGCCTGTGAATTATTTTAAGCATTATTTTAATAATAAATCGTATTATAGTTTATACCAAGCCGTTTTGGCTGAAGATTGATATTTCCGTTTATTTGGCGACTATTTTTATTAATTATTGGTTATTTTGGCTACAAATTCCTTATCCTGATATTCCTATAAAAATATCAGTCTTATGTGTAAAACAATGCATTGGCATTCAAGTCTACAAGTTTTAATTTTTTGCCATTTTTCCCAATATTAGTTGTACAAATAAAAAATAAGCCAAGCTTCAAAAATATAGTACCCTTTCTCTTAAAAAAATTCAGAGTCATAAACGATTCCATCTACCTGTTACATACTTTCTGACGAATACAATAAATCCGTTTACTCTACGAGTAAAGGGTATAAATAGTACTAGATATACTTGAATCATCGTTTTAAGCTACTTTAGTTGAGACACAAACATATCCCTTACCAGTTTCTCCATCGCAATTACAACATGGCGCTGAGGCGGTCTTTTCGGCAAGCGTCTGGTTCTGGCAGCACGGCACACACTGGCTGTTCAGCTGATCCAGGTGAAGTGGCGCAGCGCAGGCCTTGCAGGAGAACTGGCCGGGACCAAAGCAGGAGCGGCACGAGTCGTGACAGGTCTTGCAGGTGGCCGTTGTGGTGTCATAATACTGTGAGCTCAAGCACTCCATGCACAGGCCGCCGTCGAGCATCGAGTGCGGCGGGCACGAGGAGCACGCCAATGGACCAGCATCTGGATACAAACAATAAGTTACTATTTTACTAAAGGGCTATTTATTTGTTATCTTTACCATTGCACGTCTTGCAGTAATGATGACACTTCTGACATCCAAAGTCCGACTTGTAGAAGCCCTCGGGGCACTCGGGATGGCATTCACCGGCGGCCAGCTGCCATCCAGCCGGGCACTGGACGCACTGGTTCCGCCTCGGACCGCTGCAGGTGTGGCAGCTCAAGTAGCACTTGGCGCAGACGCCACGGTCACTGTAATAACTACCAACGGACACAAATTACTTTGAGTTGGTCGACAGGGCGCTTAAGGATTAGGATCAGTAGCTTACCCATCGGCACAGGTGGTACGGCACTCGCCGTTTTGCAGCTCCAGACCCTTCGAACAATTGCTGCAGTTCGTCCGCGAGACGCACTGGCTGCATGTGTGCAGACATGGTGAACAAACGGAGCCAGCTTCCATAAAGAAGCCCTCCCGACAGCCGTTCACACAGCGACTCTGCTCCAGCAGTCGACTCGGGGCACAGGACATGCAGTTCGTCTCCGCCGGTCCGTTGCAGCTGCCGCAGGATGCGTGGCATGGGCTGCACTGCCCCTCAGTTCGGCTAAAGAACTCAGCTATAGGGCGAAGGTACAAAAGATCGAAATTAACTTATATTTAAAGTCTTAAAATATAAAGTATTTGTATGAAATTAGTTACGATTTTAAATATACTATACTTGTAACTAGACATCAGTTTATATGCAAATCAGTATTCTTAACTTTCGAATTCAAGATCAAATTATTTTCAAAATTGGTTTTTGTTGAAATCTTAAGCTAAATTTTCGCGAAAAATGTATATTTAATCAATGATTGCTAAAAATTGAATGTTTAAAATACGTTTTTCCGTATAGTCTGATTTCTACTTATAATACAGAGTAATGGTTAAATGGGTTCCTTACATTCACTGCAGACTTCGCTGCCGGCCACGATGCACTTGTCACTCTTGTTCAGCGTCCAGTTTTGAAGGCACTCGGAGCAGAATCCGTTGCTGGTGCAGGTCTTACATCCCTCCTGGCAGGGCATGCACTCCAGCCGTTTTTTGTCGGCATAAAATCCGTCCGGACAGCTAATAAGGCATTTGTTTTGCCAGGCATATCGACTCGAGCGGCACGTGATGCAGTTCTGGTCCGTGGGGCCATTGCAGGTGGCGCAAGTCGAGTGGCAGAATGCACATCTGTCGGAGGGAATTCGTTTTCAAAACAAAATCCTATACGAGCAGTTGATCTACTCACTTGTTATCCTCCGTTTCATACGTGTCCAAAGGACAGGCCGAGTAGCATTTGTTTTCATGCATGACCAAGTGGTGGTCACAGCTGGTGCAAAACTCGGGATGGTCCTGGCACGAGGCACAGTTGGGCTCGCAGGGAACACAGGTTCTATTCCTGCTATCTGAAATGGGGATTACATATAAATAAATTGTTAATATCTCAAAAGGTAGGCTTCCTTCCAGGTTCATTGGTTATTACTTTCAAAATATCCATCCGGGCAAAATTGCAGGCAGACGGCGAGATCAATGACGTGCAGGTGGGCCGGGGCACAGGTAAGACAGCTGTCGGGTCCGGCGCCGGCGCACGTTTCGCATGTGTCGTGGCAGGGCCAGCAGATTCCCACCTGGTTGGGGAAGGAACGCGGAGGGCAGCGACTTACGCAAGTACTGTGAATAACAAAAAGACAGTTTAGCCATCTCAGTTTGCAAGGACTCAATCGCTCCCTTACTTGTCCAGGCGATAGTGACTGCAGGCCACGCACTGGGTGGGTCCACGGCCATAGCAACCCGAGGAGTCGCACTCGGCATCGCAAGAGTGCAGTATCTTCTTGTCCCCATCCCTCTCATCCGGTGCTGCCATCAGTTGGGCAGCGGAGGCGGTAAAACCGCCAACGGATTCAGCGGACGCCACTACGGAAGTGGTCACATTCTGACCGTCGAGAGTGGCTGTTGCTGGCTCCGGATTGGAGCCGGCGCTGCTAAAAATGTTCTGATAATTTAGGTAGCTGGCAAAACTGTCCGTATTGAAGTTTCCACCCTCGTTAGCGGGCTGGCCAATATTCGAGGCCGACGGGATGAGAAAGGGATTGGAGCCGATGGGGCTGCGCAGCTGGGGACTGGTGTTAAGCAGCTCCGACTTGAGCCGCATCGGCTGGTGGGAGGTGCCATAGAAGATGAGCTGCCACTTGGAGAGGATGCCCGGTTGATTGACGCGCCGCCGACCCCCGTTGATGACCTGCAGGGTCCAGCGGCCCTCGGCCTTCTCGCCCCAAAAGTGAACGCTCAGGAAGGGCCAGTCGTCGAAGTTGGATTTGACAATGTCACGCGGCCGTTCGAACAGCAGGGTGCTGGTGGTGCCCATCGGCGAGGTGAGCAGGATGCGCAGGTTGCCCCGCGGGAAGAAGCGCAGCGTTATGCGACACTGCACATGCTCTAGGTAGCGCACCTCGTTGATGGTGCCGGCACACCCATTTACGTCCATGTGCGTGGACAGCGTATAGCCATAAGTGCCATCTATCTTGCGGTCCTCATTGTTTTCCCGCGACTTGCAGATGTGCTGCGGCGGCACCGATGACCATTGCTCCGCCAGCGACACCATGGCACCGGCATCCATCAGTCCGTAGCCGAACTTGTGGCTGTACTTTCGCTTCACACCGTTCAGCGTCCATCCGCCCTCCTTCTCCAGTGGCGCCGGCCTTGAAGTGTAAACGACCAAGTACTGCATGTCCCGCCAAGTCAGTTCCGGATTGGCCTCCAGCGCCAGGGCGCAAATCCCCGCTGCCAGTGGCGCGGATGCCGATGTGCCCGTGTGCTCCACGGTGCATATGTGGTCTGGCCTCAGGCGGCCGTCCATGTCAACGGTGGCCACGCTCTTGTCATGCCCCGGCGTCCCGGAGCTGTAGGTGGTGGCCAGCGTGGATGAGCACTCCTCCAGATACCAGGGCTTAAAGCTGTAAAAAGATAAAATCAATAACCAAAATCTCTTAAAAGCTGTCTCCTTACCCTGCTTGAGTTGCACTCGATATGGATAGGGTAAATATCGAATTGGTGTAGCCATCGCAGTTGCAGGAGTCCGTATAGCGCCCGCCATTGCCCGAGGCCCATACGAAAATCGATCCCTTTCCCTGTCGCCCGCTCGTCACGCCATAGATGAAAGCCCGGCGAGCCAACGGACCGGGACCATCGACAGTGGAGCCGTCATCTTCGGGCCCCCAGGAGGCGCTGTATATATCAATGTGTGCGGGATTAAGGCTCAATGCCTGAGCCTCCACCACATCATTCACCTTTCCGTCCAACATACGGACTCCTGAATACAAGCGGTTTAATAGATAATACTTAGTATCACACCAGGATCATTTACCACCAATGCTGGCATTGTAGGCCACACCCACGCCGCAGTAATTGTTGAAGGCCACCGCGGCGACTTCTCCGGCACATCTGGTCCCGTGTTTGTTGTCTCCATTGTCCTGGGGCGTGGGATCCGAATCGTTGCCATTTATGTCGAATGAGGCATCCGGATCCTACGTTATATTCGTTATTAGTAAATCATATCCAGTATTGGTGACTTTAACACTTACATAATTCTGGGCCAAATCCGGGTGGTTTGTTTGAATGCCGTCGTCCAAAATGGACACAACCACGCCCTTGCCCGTGTAACCCTTCTGCCACGCTGGACCCACGTTCATGTCCAAGCCATCCTTTGCACCGCCATTCTATAGTTCAAGTTCGAAAGGAGTTTTTAAAAACATTTATAAATATGACATATAATGGCCGCACAGACAAGGGCAATCACAATGCAAAAATTTCAAAATAAGGCTAGTTTGATTTTAAAAGTAGTTTTCTTTTAAATATTTTGTATCGACATTTTGTATTGTTAGTAGAAATGTTTCAATGTAAATTCAAAAGAAACAATTTTATGGACTATAAATTATATGGATTCATGAAGCATGCATTTAAGTGAGAGATGATTACATACTTTACTCACCAGATACCACTGTTCCTTAAACAACGGATCCGGAAAGATAAAATGCGAGCTAACGTCCCGGTACTCCATTCGCGGTGAGTGCGATGCTAACGAAATTGACTCTGGGGAGAATGAAAGATGCGGATTCTGATCGACAACGTAGCCGCCGGATTGGCGTAAAAGATTATACGGACTGTAGGTAGGTAAGTCCTGATAGGGTCCGTCCCGCTTCCGGCGCACCTTTTCGTGCTGCTGCTGCATCCATTTCACCTGAAATAGGGGGAATGGTTACTGGAACTGTTAAAGGTTGCGATTGGGATTGAGATTGGGTTATTACCTCGTTCTCTGATCTAAGGGCTCCCTGATGCTTGCGACTGGAGCGCAGTGAACGCTTCGACACATGATGATGCTGGAACAGGTAGAAGTTGTCCAGAGATCCAATCTAAAAGTCGAGAGTCAAGACATTAACTGGATGGTTTCTAAATTCTTGCAGTGTTAAATATTACAAATAGTATTCTTCCACTGTGCTTAATAAATCCCAAGAATTTAATCAAAAATAACAAAGGTTTATCAAGCGCCAAGAGGCAAATTTTATAAAGTGTAGCTATAAATAAATAAATAAAAAAACAAAAAAAAAACTATTTAGTAATTGTAATTTCATAAGCAGTTGTTTATGTAAAAATTACAAAGTTCTAACGCTTAAACTGTTAACTGGAGGAACATCCTTTTACCTGTCCCTTGTTGATAAATCCATGTTTGGTGGCTATGACATCTGCCACATGCTTGCCAGCTGGAATATTAACAGCGAACTCGTTCGTGTATATCGCCTCTTCAGGAATACTAAAGGCGCCAAACATATCGACCCCGTCGAAGTCGAGGCTATTCGACATTTGCTGTTTATAAACCTCCTCAACTCTCGCACTGGCATCATTTGTGTGAGTATTTTCATAGTTATTATCGTATTTGCCACCACTAATGGCCTGTGCTTGACCCGCTCTTTCACCTCCCAGGCCGGCGGAATCGACCTTGGAGGAGCTGTAGCTGTGGGCATCATCATCATCATTATGAAATGATGGGCTTGTTGTTGTTGTTCTACTACTGTTGCTGAGTATTCCGGCATAATTCTGAGTCTCACCCTCACTACTCCGTAGAGCACAACTAGTATTTGGGCTTAGGATTACTAAAAATAATACAAAATATATACAGCTCTGTGCCATTCGGTTAAATGTACATAAATAGATTCTATTGAGTTTTGCCGTTGCTTTTGCCGTCGTTGCAGGGTCATGAACGTCGATTTGAAGTATCTTTCGCCGTCCAATCTTTCGGTACGCTGGTTCTCCGATGGATTTTATTAGGCCTCCTCCACCACAGCAGGATAAGCCTGGTCCCGGGCCCATCTTGTTGCCCTCCAAGTCCGAGGACCATTGATCTGTGCTGTTCTGTGGCGTAAATCCAACTAGCCCGATGGTTCCTCGGCTGGAACCTTGATTTGACATATTTAACTAATATTTAGCTACTAGTATTAAGGTAGTTTAATTCTCCCGAAGAGTCCTTTTGCGACGTGTCCCTTTCCTGTTGTCGTACTCATGAATCTTTTTTTTTGATCTGCTGTCTGACGATCTGGTATCTGCAAGAAGAAGAAAAAATAGTACTTTAGTCGCATTGTTATGGGATGTGATGTGTAACCTTGGGCCGGTTAAACGTGGGGTTTAAAACCAAGATGCCAAAATGAATCATGAATCATATTCCACAGATACTTGTGTGTAAAACCGGTGGTTGTGCGCTAACTTATACTTATTAATGAGGTGCCTATTTGCGATGTTCCATTGTTCGTGGGGTGGTGACACAACAATAATCTTCTGTGGGGAATCACAGGTAAGTGTTAACAATGAGTAATCTTGGCTGGCCATCTGATATTTGATACACAATCTGCATATCGTTAGTTTCCATCGTTACATTCGCCAATATTCGAATACAGCTGGAAGATCCATTTCCAACTGGTCTGCCATTTGTACATATAAATGTGTATTATGTGTAAAGTGCAATTCTAATTTATTAAAAATAAAAATACATTTATAATTTGGAAAATTATATTACGTAAATTAAAGATAAAAATGTCAAATAAAACATTTCTTTTATAATAAACTTGCACAATTCAGTTACTAAGGATTAATAAGAGTGGAACAAGATTTGGACTTAATTAAGTACATACATCCATACATATGTACATATGTATGATAAAAAGGAAAGTTCCTCTTCCCCCAAAACCTTTTGGTTAATTATACACATGTACTTTGTACATCCTCAATAAACACCAATTTCCTCAAGAGTTTAACTTTAAATCTCCAATACAAAAAAAAAGATTTTTTTAATTAAATATTCCTTGTGCGTTTTCAAGTAGAAAATAATGTACATATGCATGCACATTACATATGTAAGTATTATGTCCACACTTCTTTTAAATTTCATTTTCATGTCGGCATATGCACATACATACATAGGCTATGCAGCTATGTGCAGTCACATCTAGACGTACATACACGCAACATAAGAAGGCTGGAAAATATTGGTTTCTTGGTTAGGGTTTCATATCAACAGTATCATATGTACATGCTTACATCGATTCCGGTTTCTGTTTTACTGTGCCATTCGTTTAAAAACATATAAGGCATGTCTGTATGTAACTCACTTTTGCCGAATATGAAAGTCGGTGTGTCTAAGCATTAAACATACATACATATGCAAGTTCAGCTCGTACATTTGCCCTCTCTTTCACTCTCTCTCTCTGTATTCCCCAGCATGTTTATAAAATCACATCTCCATTTAATCACACTAATTTCGCACAAAAACAACAACAATATAAGCCACTTTTTTTGTACGGGTATATAACAAACATATGTATGTATGAATTTGATGCGCTGATAATGTACAAATTGATGCATGTACATATGTATGTCTACGGATGCGTGTGGCTTTATACACATTCGCAACTTTATGCGTAACAGTTGCCATTTCGATTGTACATACATACATACGAAGTCACGTAATGCATAAATGCATTTGTATGCTCTTTTTCTTTTACATACACATGTACATACACTGGGCATCAGAAAATGGTAATCACGGTTCGGATTGGCAAGTGTTTAAAGTCGCAACATCTATTTGGAGTCACATTTTGAAATAAATCACAGACACAATTAGGCTTTAAACTGCCATCGAAACGACTGAAAACTGAAACTGAGACTTGGGAATCGGAAGAGAACGCGTGCTTACCATGCGTACATATAGGAACTAGCCGAAACGTACATATAGGACTAAATCCGACCGAAAACCGACCGAACCGAACGAACAAACGACGCAACCTCGACTGCGCGCTCCAGCTTAAACTGAACTTTATTTTGAAGTTAATACAGCCAACGTTGGTTGTTTTCTGTTTCTTTCTCGCTGGATTTGTGCTAACCGCATACACAAACACACGGCAAACGACACTTACGTACATATGTACATACAGAGAGACAGTCGTGCAATCAAACATTCGTACATTTCGGTTCGTAGTTCGGATGTATGTATGTATACTTTATGCATTGAAAGCACAGCTTTTGGAGCTTTCAAAACAAAATGCAAAACATAACAACGCAACTTGTGCTGTAACAAAAATATTAAGTATTACGTACGCACGCATACAGACGTGCAATTGGTGCCCCATCCCCATACCATAAGCCATGATGATAAATACACATTTAAGACGTGTTTCGATAGGAAACTGAAACTTTCGTGCAAGCCAGGTTCATACAAACATACACACCAACCGTTGGAAGCTTGTCTATATATATATGTATGTACGTACGTTCGTACATATACATATACGTGCGAAGACGCTCTCTAAGCGCTGACATTCAAACGAGAGATAACATTTAGCGGCGGCAAGGTTTTCGTTGTTATTGGTTAGCCGAGATTCGAGATTTGAGATTAGCGTTTCCATTTTCCGCTTTTATTTGACCTGAAAAAAAATAATCCGGTCGCAGAAAAACAAACCCCCAATCCAATACATGCATGTTTGGCTGTGTCTATGTATGTGAACCAGAGATTTTGGCAAATCCCAAGCACTAATTTATTACATACATACATTTGTATATACAGATGTGAAGGCAAGCGCGGCTTTTAAAAATCTGCTTTTCCATTAAACAATAATTCGCGGTTAGGACAGGTTATGGTTGTTTCCAATGGGAAGTAATACACAAACTTTAACTGGGCACAAACTGAAGTACACTGAGCTAAAATTTGTAGGCTAAAAACTAAACCTTGGTTGTACTATGACAAATAGTTAGCCTTTAGTATACACAATTCTTGCTTTAATATTAATATACGTAGATAGTTTAAAAAGCTGTATATTTTAGTTACTAGTACTTAGTGCTTAACAAAAAGTTATAATTTCTAAATCGGCTTTTCAATTCAGCGTGTGTATGACAGTTCTTTACCTTTATCTTTCGGAAAGATCGTCCATTTCGGTAATATTGCTTTCCAAAATTATGATTGAACCACAGAGAAGAGAAAAAACAATCAATTTTATTTAGTTTTATATGAAATTTTTTAATAAAGTTCGGTTCGGCATTTGACTGTGTGCGGTTTTTTGAGTAGCCGGAAATGTTAACAGTTTTTGTATTAAACAATTCAGTTGAAATCTGTTCCAATATGAAAGCCATTGTATCCGAATGCAAATTTCGAGGGGTAGCTTCAGTACCAAAACCAAGTAAGGGATCGTCCACGTGTTTGATCTTCTGCAAACATAAAACGGATTAGTCAAATATTCTTGAAATGTTTATTTTAAAAATGCAGCTTATTAAATGGAAAGCTGCAAAAAACAGAAGAAGGACAGCAAACCCACGCTGATCGGCCGAAAAAAACCAAGCAACGTTGATCGAACAATATAAATTTTAGGAAACACTTTATAGCTTTAAAGTGTTGGATACATTTAAGCATAGATTACCTGATATATGTTAGCGCTTTGCTGCCAGTCGACTTGTGTTGACTTGATTTGCGAGCAAAGACGCCATAATTGCGATCTTGAGAATACCATCTTCGGCCTAAGCTGAAGAGTTTCATCAAAAAAGCAGCTTAATCGCTGGCTCGACCCCAAAAATCCAAATGCAACTTTGGCCAAAATCTCATCCAGAATACAATAGATTTCACAGATCATTTCTGATCACTTTAGCCCATTTCCATTGTCGATTTTTTGTGTAGACCCACCATGTGTCAAACGTAGACGAATTTAAAGCGTTTCCATTTAAAATCAAGTTACACATAATCCTACCAAAAATCATCTATTTTAATCTTGAACGTTTAATGTTTAATCGCATTCGTTCATAATTTAAAAAACATTGGGTCATAGGTTAAACCAACGTGTTTATTTTTGTGAAAAGAATTACTGGACCTTAATTAGAAAGTAGTTTATCTGATTGAAATGATAACCCGAAAAGTGGCCATTATCTTCTTTCAACTTTAAAGGATAAGTTTAATACTTTTTTTTTCCAGTTTAAGGAAAGGATATTTTAAAATATCAGTTAACTATGAATACAGTTTATAACATAATTTTGAAATCGTTTATAGTTTTGTGTTAAACCACCATACAATTTAAAATCGTTCATGGTTAAACACAACGACAAATTACAAACTTAACCAGATTCCCATATCAACAAAATTCAAAAGTATATCCCAAATCGTATATAACGACTATATATATACACCATTTTTAATAACATAAAAAAAAAAAGAAGTAATATAATTTGTCCAGATATATTTTCTATGGATAGTCCCATCAAATGGTAAAGACAAATGTTAAAAGTCAATCAGACATTAAATATTTTTGACTTATTGTATTTTTTGGATTATTAAACTTATGAATCAAGTTCGATAGATGGGGATTATCACCCCTGACAGAGGAGACCCGTACCATAATTAAAATAAGTTCCGTGCTTAAAAGTGAACATTGCGATTTAATCTAGACTCTTACCGATTATATTCCCCCTGAAACATTGAAATGTTCTTCACATTCTCGCACTAATTTTGTAAATATATATATTCCCATTTCCTCGGATTCAAAATAAAACACCCATATGCACCTAAAAAATAACTACAAGCAGATTCTTTGACCTAATAATATTACTGTTCAACCAACTATTGTAATTTTTTTTAAAAAAAATCGCATATAAATTCTTTTAAAATAAGAAAATGTGGTCTGAAAGTCTCTTATGGTCGTATTACGATAAAGACTGCCGTTTAAAATTTGAAAAGAACCAGTTAAAATATTGTACCCCTTTACTAAAAAACAGCATGTATAAAATTTAATATGAATATGAAAATGTAAATGCAAAATGTTTGCTGTAACCAAAATAAATATAATTTTTTCCAAATGTCTAAAAGCAGCATTCTACATTCTTATAAAAGCTCTCCGTATTTGATAAAGTATGCAGTAAAATTCCTTCTCCCATTAATTGTAAGACCTACTATTGCAAGTTTGTGTTATTCGTATCACACGAAATAGAGCAATGTTCCATCTAAAATGATTCCAACGTTATGGTACATGCTATAAGATGCAAGTCATCACATTCTTTAAATAAACCTGTAAAAAACTTTAATATGAAAATAATTAAATTATTTTAGCTGTAGGGGAGTAGATTTATAAATTTTCACAAGGGCAGGCATTACCTTTTCCCATTCGCCATGGTATTGAAATAATCATCCTTCTCGGAGTGCATTTTCTATGTGAAAACGCAAGTCGATGTTTTCCCACATTGATCATGTTAGACGCATCAATCATTCCCCAAAAACCAATGGGCAAATTAGCCATCAATACCATAATATATATCAGCTTCGAATGTATTGTACACCCAATAGTTATTTCCATTGTGCTTAATAGTTGATTTTCAAAACTAAGTAAGTGATATCTATATTTCGAATTCAATAATTCACTTTACAATACGAAAACAAATATTTAAAAACAAACAAAACAAATTACACGTACGAAATAGGCTAATTCCCACTATGTACATATTTTCTCCAGTCTGAACAAGTCTACATCACATAAAGGCTACAGTATTTTAAGATTACAGTTTTACAATCTTAAAATATATTTTCCAGGAGCACAAGTCCTAATAAATGATTTCATTTTAAGGGTAACCATGTTGAGAATATTGAGCCCAAATTTGAAGTAAATTGTACCAAAACTAATTAAGATGAAGCATTTTAAACAAACGATCCCATGCATAAGTGTCCCACGTTAAAGATATTTTCTTACGTACGTCGTTTTAGCGCCAAATCAAATGAACCGAATAAATCTCGAATTCAAAAATGCTCCCATTGATGCGTCGCAATTTCTGACAAAAAAAACTCTCTGCAAGGTTATACAAATATTATTATATTGAGCTCACTTCAATCCCAAAACCAAACATTTTAAATTTATATCATATCGTAATGTAAAAGCAAAATGTTTCCATTGGAATTTTAATGGGGTTCTTACAAAAATCCCTCCGACCAAAGACGGTTGGAACTTGAACTAATGCACGTAATAATTTAAAAAAAATTTGGTAGGAAGAATTTTTTGTGCCACCCACCGGTTTCAGTTATGTTTTCTTACCAAGTTTGAAGCGACGGTCATTACTTTGCTGGATTAGTTATATGCATTGAATAGCTATAGTTCATTTTATTAAAATAAATTTGTTGTGCCAGCATGAAAAAATCATCAAAATATTAAAAATAAATTTTTTCTAAATGCTTTTGTATTTATTTTGTGGGTTTCTTTATATTTATTTTGCATCAACAATATACAATTTAAAGGAATGGGACACAAAATAATTTATATTTGGCCACAGCAATAGTGTTAGGTAGTTAATGTTAATAAAATTAGTTTTGTTGACATTTGTCCCGTCCACATAAAAGTGTATATTCGACTTTGATACATGGACTTTCTAAAAAAGAAGTTGTGTCCATTAAAGCTTTGGGAATATTCCAAACCCAATTGAATATGAAACCACAAGACCACTCTGTACGACGATGACACAACAATTTCTTTAGACAATATTCAGGTGGAACTTTTATTGATGTTTTCGTCCATTCCATTCGAAGTTCGCCCGAAGATATTTTTGTGTCACCCCCCCCATAGTAACTTTCTCGACCATGTGCGGCTACTTTTCAAAGTTGTTTAATCTTCCCACTATAGTCACGATACCATTTTAAAAAAGTAAAGAAAAAAATATAAACAAAATTAAAAAAAATAAAAATAAAATATTAATTATGTTATAGGAAAGTTAAAAAGGGAAATAATCAAAGTATACCATAATTCAATGCATTTTAATAAGGAGAACAAATCTTCCAGTTTATTATTATAAGTTTTCACTTGAAATAGTATAAAAAAGTGCCCTAAATAATAGTTTTATTTTGAACTATCTATCAATAGATAAAAGTGTGTACAATCGCAATGTATAATTTAGAGTGATTTCGACTGGATTTTAATCTCTGACTAATAATTATAAATCATAAGTAAAAAAGACTATTCGGAAAGCAAGTAAGTGCCATTTGTTCACATCAAATAAGACTGTCTATTGAAAGGTCCAGACCAGATGGAGCGCCATGTGCTCATCCGGAATACTCACCGTTTTCGACGTGATTATGAAATTAAGAAAAGCTTTTCATCTTCAAATTCAGTTAATCGATTAGTAATATATCAGTATATATTTAATTTCAATGATAGATAAAAAAAGAATCATTTTACTGGAGAATGTAGTCACCACATACATACATAATTTAAACTTATCGTTATGATTAAATAGATGTACGTAATGATTTTTTGTTTTTTTTTTTTGTTTGCGCAATACTGCACTTTTAAGCAATCATTTTGGGATTGTGTATTTTTTAAGGTTCATCCTTTGCGTGTTATGGTTTTATAGTTGCCTCTTATTAGGAGCGATTGATAATATTTGACTAAATTTAAAATCAAATCATATTTGGGTGCTTTCGATTAGACGATCCTTTTATGTTCGATTATTTTGTTTACTCTCGAAGGAGCAAAGTCAAAATGTGAAACGTAATCAATAAGTGAGAGAGTACGTTATATTTCATCCTCATATGTTTGGCTCCAGTGTCTAAAAACGTCGACGTCCCCATGGGACATTATTTCCTCCGCCATTATTTCCGCGTTGATTTCCGCCTTGGTTCATATTGTTAACCCCAAATTCAAAAGCGAAGGAGTCCTATTCAAGCAATGAAATACAATTGTTCAATTGAGTGTTGCATTAGCCTTGTGGAACCCAATTTAAGAAGGGGAAAATGTTATCAAAAATATGAGCCCACATCTACGTAAATATTAAATATCTGTATCGTGGCCCATCACACCCAAGGTTAAATATATTACCGAATATGCCCAAAACGAATTAATCGATTCCCACCATTTATTTGGAATGTAAAAATAAATAACGGATTTGACTTTGTTTGCAAGCACGATAAGCACAACAAATTAACATTGTAACTTTTAATTCACAACGCAAAAATAAAATACATACTCAAAAATAGACTTCAACAAAGTACTATATGCATCCCAGTTTTTATAAAAAAAAAAGTATATATATGTTTAGATATATACAAAATGGCTGATGAAAGCCGCTACCAAAAAATATTAATAACTTTTTTCTATTTAAGTAATCTGCATTTTTTATTTGGTGATTGAAAATGTATAGCTGGTATAGAGAATAAAGACCCACGTCTGCCCACAGTCCTTCGAGCGATGGGCCGTAATAAAGATAAAGTTGCTAAGGACCTTACCATCGGCTATATCATATGGCTAATAATCATAAGGTCGAAACAGAAAGTTAGTTAAACGCAAAGAATATAAATTGTTTCCCCAGAAAACACAGCAAACTTGCCAACCATATAAACAAACAAAATTTTTGAATATATATATATAGTTTTCCCAATCCCACAGATCTTGAAGAGCGACATAATTGCATTCACAATGCATTGTCTAAAGTCACTTATTTGTAGAAAGTTTTTCTGCACAGAATTCTGTTCAACTCTGTCTGGTTATAACAAGATGGTCACATAGCAAAATCAATTGTGGGAGCATTGTTACCAAAAGTTTCACACACAGGCTCCACAATGCACTATTGGCCCAGGTATTTTTTTTATTATGTATTGCGATACATATAAAGTACCGATCCACTACCCGTGCTGAATAGGTACAACTAGTTATTGTTTAACATAAATAAAAAACGAATTAATTCCATAGACTAAAAAAAGTTATTTGAGTTTCTTAATGTAGCAATGTTCATCAGCCATCCTGTGTATATATGAAGAGAGTAGAACGGCAGGCCCCCAAACGTATTAAAATATATTTTCACTTTTCAGTTGAAATTATTTGGTAATGCAATTCCGGCTTTATAATTTGATTTACAAAGTGTATGCAAATAAAATGGTTCATTCATGGCTTCAATTCAGCGGCGTTTAAAGAAATAATCTTATATACACATTGAAACTAACGTTCTCCCATGTTCAATTATTTCAATCTCTTCATCCCCGAAAAATCCTAGTGCCTTGTAAGTGTATTTTTGTTTGAAAGAGACCCGAAGAATGGTCACGAAAGAATTCTCTTATTTGTTGTGAATGAATTATATGTATTGGGTTGTACTTTTATGAAAGTGATAGACAGTAGCTCTACCACTACTCTGATGGTTATTAAATATTGGGTGGGGCTGCAGTTAGGACTTGAACATACCTGTGTATTGGGACCAGAATTGTTTCCAATCATAGTCGAATTGCTGTTGTTATTGCCTATTGTAAATAGATAAGGGATAAGTGGGGATCAAACGAAGCATGGCACTTGATTTCCTCACCTCTGAAAACTTCAAATGGCGAGTTGCTGTTTCCCCCGAAGTTGTCGAAACTGGAGTTGTTGTTGCCGCCGCCTCCACCGTTGCCAAATCCTTCCTGCTGATCAAGCAACGAATTTAGTTGCTGCGCCTGCATAAACAATGTGTTCTCCTGCTGCCTGCGGAGAAGGTCTTCCTCCTGACGATTCATGTGGCTCTGCATTTCGCCCTGATGGCGTCGCATTGTCTCCTCCTCCCGCTTTCGCATCTCTTCGGCCTGTTTCTCTCGCATTTCCCATTCCAATTTTTTACGCTCGTTGTCCACTTCGCGCTTTCTTAACTCTGGAAAGGATGAAAGAGCAGGGATTAGACAAGTGGGAATTGATTTGCGACCGTTACTTATAGGCTCAGAACTCCACTAGCCACATTTGCTTAAGCTCCAAAAAGGTTTGAATGGCTTAGCTCACCGAAAATCCGATTTAATCGGGCGGGACACACTCACCTTGACGCAAAAGTTCAGTTTCCTGCTCATAGCGAGCGTACTCCATCTGAGCCTCCAATTTGTCCTCCTCCATTTTTAGCTCACGTTTGAGGGCATCCTGCTTGGTTTTGAATAGATTGTGCAGCTGCTTCCACCGCGATCCGTACTCGTGCTCAAAGGAGTTGAGATCGGCGAAGCGTGGACCAATGCTGCGCTCGTGATTGAAGTCGGGCATCTTCTTATTGAACGCCTTCTCCGGCAGTCCATCGTTGTCGTCGTTCACCTCCATCGGATCCACAAGACACGGACGGAGGGACGCGGTCAGGAAAAAACATTTCTCATTGCATAATCGCAGGCAGGCGCTGGCGGACGACTTCTTGGCAAACTCCACAATACCTTCGCCTGTATGCTTGCCACGATCGTCGACGGTAATGCTGGCCCTCTCGATGGGACCAAAAATTTCGAAGGACTTGTACAGCAATTCGTTAGACACGAACGGCGTGAGATTGCTCACGCGCAAAATGGTCGCATTGGGGGCAAAACGAACTCGCAACTGGCGTCCCTTTCGCATCGATCCGTCTAGGGCGCGCTTGGCCTTCTCGGCATTTGGATGGTAGTCGACCTTTAGGAATGTAAAGTTCTTGTCAAGGTTCGAGAAGATCTCGCTGATCTCTCCGTACGGCTTGAACATCTCGCGCAGCTCATCGTCGGTAATGTCGCCGGTTAGGTTGCCCACATAGAGACGATTACGGCCAGAGAATTTCGTTTCGGTCGGTACTTCAACCGGCTCTAGTTCAATGGTGGGGCCAGCAATGCTCCGCAATCGCTGGCCGATGAAAAAGTCCTCTCCACCACGCGGACCCCCGGCTCCGCCGCCGCTGCCGCCCATGTTGGAGCTGTTCATGCCCCCAGGACCGCCAGGTCGTTGACCCCGGTTCCTGTTGTCCCGCTGCTGGTTCAGGGGTCCTCCGCCACCGCTAGCACTTTGGTTGTTACCAACGTTGCGTCCTCTAAAGCCTGGCCCATTTCCTTGGCCTCCATGATTTCCTTGATTTCCTAGGCCTCCTTGTTGTCCTTGTCCTTGACCTTGCACCTGATTTTGGTTTTGGTTTTGGTTTTGCCCTTGTCTTTGATTTTGGCCCTTGCTAGCATTCGGATTCGGTTGACTTTGACTTGCAGCTGCTGTTGCCGGTTCACTTGTCTTAGCAGCTACGTTAACGACGACCGCCTTTGGTGTTTCGTTATTGGGCTTCTATATTTGGATTATATAGTTGGATCAGTTCAAAGATATCAACACGAGGGTCACATCCGCATTGATAAGACAATGACAGAATTAAAATTAACGACTTATTTAGAGAGCGAGATATTAAACACATCCCTTATAAGACACGCTGGTTTAAATAATACCGTAGTTAGGTTTAATGGCTGGATATTAATTTAGGCTTAAAAATTTTAATCAAGTTGTTTTTGTTACAAAAATATACTACAGACTTTCATACATTTTTTCTGAACATCATTTCGCGAAAGCTCGCTTTGGATTTATCATTATGCATTTCTTCCAAACAACAAAAAGCGATATTAATATTATAATATATTAAATCAACGGAAAAGTTTTCGATTTTAATATATTTGAACGTCAAATTACAAATGTACATGTACAATGTACATTGTACATATGTATATGTATTTACTGCATTTTGGCTAAAACTGTTCATTTTGTATGTACCCGACATGTAAGCACAAACATACATACGTACATAAATAAATTTGCAACAGTAAACATACATACGTGTGTATGTATGTATACGTCGAGTGCGTGTAAAAGCAGTCTCGTTTCATTATTTAGGTGTGTATGCATACCATATACAGAATAATAGAAAGGCAATTATCCGCCCGATAATCTAATCAAATTATTCAGATATCGAAAATAGATATGGATAACTTACATTCACGTTATTGGCGGCTGGAAAGGTCCGGTTATGATTTCCTCCTCGATTCTGATTCTGATTGTTGCGATTGCGGTTCGCAGCAAAACCACCCTTGTTTCCAAAGTTCTTATTTTGATTGGGGGCACCGCCGCCCGTTACAGCACCATTTTGGTTTTGGGCGTTTGGATTGGGACCTCCAAATCGGGGCTTCTTCTCCGCCGGACTCCCATCGGCGGAATCGCTTTGCTTCTGGGCGTTATGCTTGCCGACGTTTTTGTTGGGCTGGTTTCCCCGCTGCTGCTGACGCTGTGGCAACGGCGCGGTGTTATCCAGTTTAGCAGCACTTTCCATTTTCCAATTGATTTATTATTCACAAATATTTCACTCAGAATTACTTTGTAATGAAAAAATGATCAGTGTTGCCAGATGAAAATTCAGCCTTCCCTAAAAAATTTTACTTTGTAAAGAAAAAAATCAGTGTTGGGCAGAAATTGGGATTAAATTAGGGGTGGAGAAACAAGTTTGCGTCACCGTGACGATTTTGGTCTGCGTGGAATGGAACAAATGTAATGATGCGGAACACGTATTTAAACAAGAATTTCAAAATTAGATTAACTTGACAATTAAAATGTTGTTATATTACATTTAGCCCAATCTCAGAAAGAATAACATTTAGACACTAAGAATAATTCAGAGAAATATCGCTTTTATTAATCAATGAAAAATTGTCTTTTTAGTAAGACCCGAATTGATTTATATCATCAAATCGAATTTTATTATTTGAAGTCATAAATACAATTTAAACAAATATTAAATAAAATAAAATATCACACTTTTTCCTACTATTTGGCTCTTTTATAAGGCTGTAATTTTATACACAGTCACGTCGATTTTCTGGTGTTTATGCATTAGGAAATCCGTTTCGTGAGGTAAAACATCCTTGATTTGAAGACAATCTGAAAAAAAAATCATTAAAAATCGCGTACTATTTGCTTACTTATAAAATTACCTATGTCATTACATCCTTTTAAAAGCCGTTTCACACACCCTTCAATCGGAAGATTCAAAAGCTTTCTTCGGAAAAACTCAAACATGCTAAGAGTTGCAAAAGTAAGCGCCTTTAACTTTAAACATTGGTATATTAGTTTCAAAGCTACATTTTTAGTAATGTTCCAACTTACAGCAGCAAAAACTATATAGTAGACAAGGGTAGTGGGAAACAAAAACAGAATGGCCGAGAAAAATATCGTTGCAAGATATAATTGACGATTCATGTAATTATGAGACTCTGTGCGACCTGAAAGTAAAAGTAACAACATTTTAAAAACTGAACTTATCACATTAATGCAAAAAAGTACCTTTTAAAATATTGTACCGGTTCCCTCGGACCACTTGCCATAGTACAGAAAGACCCTTTCTCTCTACATTGTAGAGCCTATTAAAATAATTTGGATTTCAAATTTTCCAGTATGTGTCACTGATTTCAAACTTACACTTTGGTATAAATATAAAAGCAATGCGAATGTAACCCAATTATGGATATTAAGTCCACTAGGAGGGCTATCTGGAATGTAAGACCCAAGCACCCAAATACTCCAATGGCCAAGAAAACCTGACGGACTAAAGGTTCGATGAAATCTATACAAGTAAAGAAAATTATCAATGGTAAAAAATACACTTGGGAGTTAGAATTAAAATTTACCCAAAAATGTCGACCATAATTCAATATGATATTTAAAGCAGTCGAGAAAGAAATTATTTAAATGTATATTTAGCTTGAGGCCAATTGGACTGCCTTCCAGTACCTTCAATAGGCTGTATAACTCATCAATAACGTACTAATGTTCAAGTAAACACAATATACTATAAATTATTTTATATATTTAAATATATAAAAATACTTACGTGGGATATTTGAATGAGAAAATCTCCCGGCTGTGTCGCTAGGGAGAAAAGTATGAGCATCAATATCATTCCCAATATTCTATCAAGTGCAATATTAGCAGGGCGAGATCTGTCAAGGTAAATGAAGTAGTATTGATAAGGTGAATATTATTATTTTGAAATAAATTACCGCCCATCACAGGTTGTCTGCCACTCCTTGAAATGTTTGTAGATGCTTGTATGAACCATTATGCTATTGACAAACACATTTTCAACAACATATTTAAACACCGTTATGGGAAAGTCGGCGATGAGAGTTAACATATATAGAACACTATTTTTGGTACTGTTCTTTGGATTCCTTAGAGCCTCTTCTGTGGGTTGTGTTAATCTGGATAGCTCGAGAAAGTCGCAGTCACTGCTATCATTATCATTATGTTCTATGGGTCGGTTATTCACAGATTCCCCGCCGACAAACAGATTTCTTAGCATTGGTTTTTCATAGAGAATTAGCTTAATGTGCTTGAGATATTCTGGGGTAATACCGGTGTAGACCAGTGTTATATTTGCTTGGCTGCTGTTGTATGTGAAACACAGTCGCATATTGAATTTCAGATATTGGATTTGATCTGCATTGAAGTCCACGTTCAGGATGGAGCCCAAGAAACGCATATCGCTCGATGCATGATCTATGGCTTTATCACGAAACTCCAGGACCGAAGCTTCCAGAACGTAATATGCTACGACATTATCTTCATTTATTTGCACTTGGCCGTACAAATTCGTGGGCTTCTTAAGGTAATAATAGTTGAACGGCAAATATATCTTAATGCTCATAATAAGTCGTTTAAATCACAAAAACACCGGTTTTCTATTATGTATACAAAACAATTGCAGCATGCCTGAGAAGGTTGTGCACCCGCCGTGTGACGTCACAGTTTTCTTTTTTGGGATGATAGGCAAAATTGAATATTTGAATTTTTGATTATTTACTTGTGGTTTACAAATTTATGCTCATTATTATTTTTCATTGAAGGGTAGTGAAATATTCCTAAACAAAATGTAACTAAGGGAGTTAACTTTTGCCACCTCAAAAAGACATGTCATGTCGATTACGATATGTTTGAAATGCAACCGCTCGATAAACAGAGGCCACTCTGCTCCCGTTCCATCCCGCTGTTCTTCGTTTTTCACGTGTTCTGTTTTATATCGTTTCACAAATTTCTGTTTTAGGGATGTCGAAATATTTAAAAATATCGTATCGATGACATTTTTCATTAAAACAAAAAATCAAAATGATATTTGATGTATCAGAAATAAAATATCTTTATATCTGATATTTTTGTTTTATTATTATTTATTTTTAATTTTAAGCTGCATAAGGCGGGGCACCCGACTATAGCGTTCTATCTTGTTTTTACTGCGTTTTCTTGGATTTTGAATGCTATGCTATGCATTTTCACTAGCCGAAAAATAAATTTTAGCGGCGCTCATTTTTCACATAAGTATTTTTTTTTGTCCCGATGAAAAGTGAAACCACTTAAAATTATCAAAATAATGTGCAAAAAAAATCGATGATACCTGAAAATTATTCAAAAAAATATTGTTAAATAAATATCATTAAATATTTTTCGTAAAAAATACCGATATATTTTCCACATCCCTAGTACTAAGCATTCCATCCCACTGTTCTTCGCTTTTCACGTGTTCTGTTTTATATCGTTTCACAAATTTCTGTATTAATATACGCAATAGGGGATACACTTTTCATCGGCATTTATTTAGTAAAAATTGTTTTCATTTAAAGAGTAGATATTTTGTTTTGAGTACGACAATGGGATATGATGGTGAGTTTCGGAGGAGTGCGAGTAGATGGTATAGTGAATTCGATGCCCAAGTGTGCATAAATAGGTGTATGTGTATACATACATATGTACATATGCAGAACTGTATAATATTTGGTAAAGAAACGGAAAACGAGCCGATGGATATGGATAAATGATAATGCAAGCGATTCTGATAGGCGTTAATATTTTTGTATTTACCCGAAAGTTGTGTTCAATCGAGGGGTGGGTAAAAACACTTTTCGTTGTTGACCGGTTGTTTTTTACTACCTCATGCATACACACACACATGCATATGTCTAACAAAAGTTGGCATAGTTTGGTCTTGTTTTCATTAAATTCGGCACATTTGGTAACATATTTGAGGGTCTTAAATACGTTTTTGGTTATTTGCAATGGGGTTTACCATTTAATAAGCTGGCACAAAATGCTTTAATATGTACATATGTCGACATGCATATGTGCATGCATAGGAGCGTGCATCAGTCTATATGCAGCAGTTGCGACTTTCCAATTCGCTGATCACCTATTTGCATTTGCATTTCGATTTTAGAATACACCATACGATATCATTTATCTTTACAGATCGTGAACGTGATCGCGAGAGACGCCGCCACCGATCCCGATCCCGTGACCGCCATCGCGATCGCTCCAGGGATCGCCGCCATCACCGCAATTCGCGGCGCAAGCCGTCGCTCTATTGGGATGTGCCCCCGCCGGGCTTTGAGCACATCACCCCAATGCAGTACAAAGCCATGCAGGCATCGGGACAAATCCCAGCCAGCGTTGTCCCGGATACGCCGCAAACGGCGGTGCCCGTGGTCGGATCGACAATCACCCGGCAGGCGCGTCGCTTGTATGTCGGCAACATTCCGTTCGGCGTCACCGAGGAGGAAATGATGGAGTTCTTCAACCAACAGATGCATTTAGTTGGCCTCGCCCAGGCGGCCGGCAGTCCCGTCTTGGCCTGCCAAATCAATTTGGACAAAAACTTTGCTTTCCTCGAATTCCGGTCAATTGACGAAACCACCCAGGCAATGGCATTCGATGGCATCAATTTGAAGGGGCAGAGCTTAAAGATTAGGCGTCCGCATGATTACCAACCGATGCCGGGCATTACAGACACGCCGGCCATTAAGCCCGCCGTTGGTAGGTTCACCTATATTCTATATCCTAGATCCAAAGTTTAATGCAATTCATTTAACTCAACAGTTTCTAGTGGAGTTATTTCGACAGTGGTTCCGGACTCGCCTCACAAAATCTTTATTGGAGGTCTGCCAAACTATTTAAATGACGATCAGGTTGGTTAATAGGCACATAAGGTTCAAATATAGATTATTGTTATTAACACAAACACTTTATTGCAGGTTAAGGAACTGCTTTTGTCGTTTGGCAAGCTTCGAGCGTTTAACCTTGTTAAGGACGCTGCCACTGGATTGAGCAAGGGTTATGCCTTCTGTGAATATGTGGATCTAAGCATCACCGATCAGGTAAGAAATACTACGATTAGCTTTAAAATAGGGCTAAATAAAAAATGCAATTGAAATCTGGAAAATCTTTAAAAAGGACAGAAAAGTAATTACCAAAAATATCTGGTTACTCTCTTCATAATTGTATTTCAATTGTCCAGACTTGAATAATTTGATTTATATCTTGATAATAATTCCTTTCTCTCAATTGCTTGTTTAATTCAAAGTCAATTGCTGGCTTGAATGGAATGCAGCTGGGTGACAAGAAACTAATTGTCCAACGAGCCAGTGTGGGTGCCAAGAATGCCCAGAACGCTGCCAACACCACTCAGTCCGTAATGCTGCAAGTGCCAGGCCTGTCAAATGTGGTGACCTCCGGGCCGCCCACCGAGGTGCTCTGCTTGCTCAACATGGTCACACCGGATGAACTTCGGGACGAGGAGGAGTATGAGGATATTTTGGAGGACATCAAGGAGGAGTGCACGAAATACGGAGTCGTTCGAAGCGTGGAAATTCCCCGTCCCATCGAGGGCGTAGAAGTTCCGGGATGCGGCAAGGTTTTTGTCGAATTTAACTCGGTTCTCGACTGTCAGAAGGCCCAGCAGGCGCTTACTGGAAGAAAATTCAGCGATCGCGTTGTCGTTACATCATATTTCGATCCTGACAAATACCATAGACGCGAATTCTAAATACAAGTAAATCATATTTCTCACATTCACCGATTGTCCAATAAATATCACACAATAAAAGTAACAATTTACGATTTGACTACGAAAATAACATAAAATAGAAAGAGATAGGCGGCTATACACATGTTAGCCGGCTTTGAAATAAACCCGTATAAATAAGTGCTCGTAACTGTACAAAAAATATAGGGGTAGTGAAAATCATTAACATTTTAGACTGCGCTGGGCCAAATTCTTAAAATTTAACGCTTTTTAAAATAATAATTTATTTGTGTGCTAATTCTTCAAGGAATCTTCGATAGGCAAACGCAAAAAATTAAAACAGTTTAATATATGGACAGCTAACGCCGGTAAATTTTTATTTGGCATTAAATAATGTATGCATGTATACATTTTGTGTGTTCGCTGTATATAAGGCATTTACAAAATAGTTGAAAATATCTATTAGATATACAGATACACTTAAAGACGAAACGTACAACTTAAATACATTTTGGGTACATATACTAAAAACGATTGGCTAATTCTCAAAAGCGAAAATGTCCAATTCAGATCTATGATGCGAAATGTTCTGGTGTTGGGGCTGCAGAATGTTGTTCATATAGTTAAATGCAAATGCATGACAAATGATATATAATAGTGTGTTTAGACTGACATGCGACGAAATACATAAGTAAAGCTCAATTTTTATGTCAGTTTTCTTTAAATTCGAATGTTTTAAGACTGCATCTAATGCCTCGCATTATTTTTGAATATTCGAAATTGATTCTAGTAGTCTAAGTCTAAACATACTATTAGGGGCTGTCCATATATTACGTAATCATCTAGGGGGGGGGGAGGGGGTCCACCAAATGATTACTCTAGTGCAAATTATTTTTTTTTTGTATGGAGAATTGATTACATGGGTCAAAAGTCGCCGAAATTGTGATTACGTAATATATGGACAGCCCCTTAGGAGTTGTAGCGATCATTCTAGCGGGCATTCAAATGGAATGCAAATCGTTTTCAGATGCTATATCTCTCGATACCCATATTAGTTCTAGGTCGTTTATTTTTCCCTCCTTAAATCGACTAGTGTAGTTTATCGATCTTTAATATTTTGATTACAAAATGCATTAACAAAAATAAAGTCTATTAGGTTAGTTTAGAATTTGTAGATCTTGCAGATTAGGAGAGGCAAGCGCGAAATTGTATACATAGAAATTTGAAAATCGTAAACACCCGTGATTTGATCAAATCATGTTCACGAGGAACCCTTAGTTTAGTTTTGTTTCGATTATTTGTTCAAAATACTAATCAAAATTGATCAAAAATGAGTTTAAAACATGTACATATATTCACAGGACTGAGTCAATAGTTAACGTTTAACTAGGTTGACTCCACTAGTACTCATATTATTTATTAAAAATGAAATACGATTTTTGATCTTGGGTAAGCGTTGATTTTTAAGGCACTTGTAAACTAGAGATACTGATTTACTTTTTTGTAGTAATTTCTAACTTTTTGTATTATTCCTTTTGAAGATGATTTGATTTTTCCACGCATTTTTGAAATGCTCTCTGAGTATTTGCGCTAAAGAAAAGTTATATAAAGAAGTTTAGGAAAGGCGCTTGCGAATGATATCCGAGTCCTCCTGCTTATGTAATAGTTTTAAACGTTGTCCTTATACTCTAAATTAACATTTTTTTTAAGTTTGCAATGTAACACTTATGAAGGGGTGTTCAATAATAACAAAATTTTAAAAATTAATATCAAATGTCATTTGAATTCGATGCTAAAGTGTAAGTAAATTATACTTTCGAATTCAAGAAAAACTTTTGAAAGCAAAAACAGGAATATGACAATTAAATCAGTTTCGATTTTGACTACTTTTTTTTTTTGTTTTACGATATCGCTTTGTGCTCTTTTAGCCATAATTTTTAGTTCTCCTGAATCAATGACCCATCCAAAGATGCTCAGATTGCACATAATATAGTGGTAAACAAGAGTAGATGTACGAATACTGCAATGAACTCATGATAGAACGAAAATTAATCATAAGTATATGTAGAGGCCAATTGATTGAACGTTGATTCAGTAGACGCCAAAAAATATGGAAAAGTCAAATTTGTTTCGGGAGTTCCCACTTTCATGAATTTGATTATTATTAGAACACTAATTGTATAGTATGCGCTACCATATCTTCTGATTCGTATAGAATTTAATCGAAATCGTCAAAAGTTTTCGGTATCTTCATTAAAGCTAGTTTGAGTCGGAGAATCAGATCATAGTTTGAATAAAACGGTGGAGCAATACTAGCTTTGCATTCTTTCAGGTAAACAATTGGTTTTCCCATTTACTTATACATACATGCAGACTTGGAATCATTGCTTGCACTCATAACGCATCTACGGTCCAGTGCACCAACCAACTATATAATCCGACTACGGGGAAGTGGCATTGGCGATCTTGATGTTGATCAGTAAAGACGATAATTCCAGCTCTTCACTAAACTTATTTCGCAAAATGACGCTGCGATAGCCCTGGCGAACACAGGTCAGCGGATAACACGCCTGGGCGATGAAGTGCGTCTCGGCGAACATGTCCTCGTCCTGGACCTCAAAGCGAAGGATCGCGAATTGCGGATTGCGCACGTTGAACTCGCACGATTCATTCCACACCGGATTGAATCCGTTCTCGTTGACTTTGGTGCGATACTTGACGCCCGTATCGTAACTGGCGCCAACTATTTCGACCACGATCTGTGGATTGTTCGATTTGCCGCCACGAAATAGATGACGTGCGGCTATCAGGCGAATGGTAACTTTCACCCCGCCAAAACCATCGCACAGGGGATTGTTGGGTTGGAAGCTTTCCGACTTCATGAATGCCGGCTTCAGGATATAGCCACATTGGCCATTGTTCCGGAACTTGGCCTGATTGAACTGCATGGCCCTGTCTCCCGTCTGGTAGTTCAGTGCGATCATCTGTGATCCGATATTCCAGAAAGGCATCGGATTAAAATTTGACGAATCCAAGCGCTGTCCCTTTGGGTACACTCGACTAATCTGATTGCGATGGTAGGAGAGAAATAGCTGTGTGTTCTGCTGCAAGAATTGCTTTTCCGCCTTTGTTTCGGGGAAGCTGGACATTTCCTGGAATATCCACGAGTGCTCGCGGAAGGGCACGCTGCGGAAGTAGATGATCAGGTCGGACATCTCCTTGGCCACCCGGGCAGTGCGCTCCTTTTTCCGTCGCTCCGTGGCCAGTTGGCTGGCGATTAGGGCCGCCTCCTGGATGGCCTTTATCCACTCGTAGGCCGTCTCCTGGTTGTCAAAGCCGATCACAAACGGATTCTGCATCGTTGGCGTTTGTATCTGCAGCTTGAAGATAATCCCCGGGTCGTTGGACTCGAAAAGCGAGGCCACAGCTCCGAATATCTCTATGGAGTCAGTGCGCCCATCGGTTCCGTCCTCGTTTAACGAGTTGTAGTCCTCGGTAGCAGAATCAATAACCTGGATGTCGGCAAAATGCAGATTATAATTTTATTTGGTTATATGTGTTGTTTGGTTATATCCAACTTAGAGCCATCAATCTCACCTTTACATAATTTGCCGGCAGATGCTTCTTTATCATTCCACCGTAGTCCCCAATCCACCACATCGAGTTGTCCCTCTGGACGTTTGTGATGATGGCATGCTTGGGGAACGAGAGTTCGTCCGGCTTGTTTGCCTTGTAGCTGTAGAGGGCCTTGCAGGTGACATATTCCTCCAGATTGGAGCCCATGTAATTGGATGCCCCGTTGTCGTCGTGGCCAGTGTGATCGCCCTGGGCGCTCTCCGCCAGCGCCTGACGCAGCAGCTCCTGAGAAACCGGATGGCTGAGCTTGACATTGCGATAGAGCGGATTTCGCGTATAGTAGTTGATCAGCGAGACGAGGGACTCGAAATTCATCGTATCGATGCCGTACAGACGACCCTCCTGCATAATGCGGCAGTGCTTGATCTTCCGGTTGATCGTAAACGAAATGACGAAGGCGTTAATGCTCTGCACCGACGGCCTGACGAGAAACGAACCGATGTCGAGTCTATATAGGCCCTGCTCCGCTTGCTCTTTAGTGGTGTTTGGGTGGAACCACTCCTGATCCTCGTGTTTTTTTGGCTGTGGCACAGGCTCCTTTAGTATAATCGAAAACTCCGAGCTTCGCAGCATATTCTTTCGATAGTAAACGATCAGGGAGTATAGGGAGTCAAACACGAAATTCTCCACTAAATAGTACTTGATTGAACCATTCTCGTGCTTCAGCTTAATGCGACAGTGATTCGGTCGATTTCGGCGCCAAAAAGAGAGACTATAGTCGCCCACAAAAGTGGCTGATTCGCGTACCAAAAATGTTCCGTCGCCAAAATGTTTATACTGCTTTAGTAGATCGTCTGCTTCCTTCCTGCCACCTAAAAAACGTACATAACCAAGTAACTTATCATACATAGGTTTGGAAAACTATACTATACGAACCTTCCAGTTTCCCATGGAACCAATTCTCGCCAAAGTGCAGCTCGTCGTTGGCCGATGCATCCTTCTGTTTTTGCTGCATGTTGCTGTTCAGCGAACACGACGAGGATAGTCCAAAGTCATCGTCCTCGGAGTTTCCGTTACGCGTCTCGTTGATCTCGGATGAGTAGATGAGCTCCTGGTGGGTCAGGACGAACTGATACAGGTTCCAGGACTTATCGACCGGATCCTTAAAGTACAGCAATCCCTCCTTGAACACCTTGCGCACATTCTCGCCATCGTTCTCCCCACCGCCCGCTCCGCCCAGCGAAGATCTATGGCCCAGCGAACCGGTGCCGGAAATCCCATTGCTGATATCGTCGAACTGCGGCAACTTCTTGTGCTTGAGGATTATCTTGCGACGCAACTGGTATGGTGACGGCAAGTGTTGCTCGTTTCGGTCACAAGGTTGCGAAAGCAGCGTGTCCCCAAATACCTGAAAGGTAGCAAGGGAAATATAAGTCATAAATAAATAAAATATGTATTTATATCATGTTCGATCTAAGAGTCTTATTATGCTTTAAAAAAAGCATAAACCAAAAATTCGAAATTTTTTAAGAAAAAATGAATGTGCCGGAAAGTGATGGGTTAGTTAGCTTATGTTGTTAGCTGCTCAAAATAATGGTCTTTTAGCTTATCGCCTTGGTTTAACGAAACTACGTTAGAAAACAGCTACGAAAGGGCATTTTAGCAATCTCCATTATTTTTACTTAAGAAAATATTGCAAAAAAAGTCATAGAAATACAAAACCAAACAAAAGGCAATAACCAAGAAAGCATATGAACCAATTTTCAGAGTGAGTGAGTTTCAATCATGCAGAACCCTAGTTTGCATGCTATAAACAAATTGTGTATGGGCTATTTATAGTTCCCGATTAGGTCAGCGTCAGCTTACCTCGATCAGGGCCTGCGCCATGTTTCGCTGCTGCTCCAGGGAGCAGTTCTGCTCGATGGAGAGTATCACCGGATACTCGGAGGTGGTGAAGGCGTGATCCTTGATCGTCTTGATGACGTCCATGAACTTGATCTTGGAGGTCATCGTGTGGCCATGGAAGATGTAGGGCAGGTTATCCGGGCCATTCCAACAGTCCAGCTCGATGCAGCGACAGCCCATGCGAAGGGCGCGCGCGTAGGCCTCGCAGGAGGATTCGCTGGAGAACTGATCGCCGGTTAGGTAGGTATTATGCGACGAGGCGATCCAGTAGGAGGACAGTGGCAGGTTCATGTCCATAAACACCGAGTCGTACTTGCTGTTCCACAGGTCGTTCTGCTTGGAGAACAGAAAGTCCACGAACTCCGAGAAGGTCAGATACGGCTCCTGGACATCCCGCTCCACATCCTGCACAAAGTCCCGTATAAACGAGGCAATGGCTGCGTTACTGATCTCACAGGCGCTCACATCGCGCTGCTCCGACTCCAGGAACTGCTTAAGCTCCGCCGGTCGTACCACCTGCTGGTCCTCCGAGTATGGAAAGTTAGCCCCGCTAGATCCTGAACCCGATAGATTGCTGGCAAAGCCGTTGGGCAGCAGCAGCTTCTGATACAGTCGCGAGAAATCGTCGAACTTCAGGTCGTGCTTGCGCCGCACATCCTCGGTGAAGTGCTCCATGAACTTGCCGGTGGTCATCTTGCAGCTAACGCCGGCCAGGAAGAGCTTGAAGTCCTTGATCGTCACCTGTGCCGGCGACTGTTCCGTCGCCTTGGCCGAATGCGAGTTGACATTCTCGATTTGGTAGTACTCTCGCCGCAGCCAGCGATCGATTTGCAGGGTATAGGGTGCTCCCAGTGTGTCCTTGACCATATACTGCAGCCCCCGCACCCAATTATCGGCCTCAATCTCCGACAGCGCCACGACCGAGAAGCTCTTCAGCTTGAAGTGACTGCCGTGTAGAATGACAAAGCATTTGCTGGACTCGAAGCGCTGGCAATCGTCGGCGAAGAGTCTGAACTCCTTGGAGTGCTTGCCCACCCGGATCTCACGGATCTCCCGCAGCTGTATGGCGCCCTCGTAGTCGGTGCGTGGCGTTTGGGTGGCGACCGTGGCCCAGATCACCTGGCGCGTCTCACGGATGAGCATCAGGTGGCGGCGATCCGGACGACGCTGCTTCCCATACAACTTGGTCACGATGGTTCCGCGCTCCAGCATACCGATGGTCTGCTCCATCTCGCCCAGCAGCGGGGCACTCATCGCACTAAAGCAGCTCATCCTGGAATCTGGATTTAATGGGGTCAAATCCTGTCCTGCCGTTTCCTGTCGCTGGCTGCCACAGGTTGTTCCTCGCCTCGCCAACCAATCACCCAAAAACTAAGTGCAATGCATGCAAACTGTGGGCTCCAGCGTTATCCCTTCGCAGATCAACTGCCCCACTCTCTTCCACTTGGTTGGCGCACAAATCACGGGAAGTGGACCGTAGAACCGAGTTTAACTATGCAATATTTATAAAATGTACCCAAAAAAAATACCTTTCCAGCACTTTTACGGTTTAGAGGTGGAACTAATATGACTTAGAGCTGGGAGCCGCCTGCGAACTAGTTCGCTGCCCATGCATCCGATATTAATTCTTGGGCGGAAATCGTAAACTTTTAAATCGTTAAAATGTAATATGCGTACATTTTTAAACCATTTGCTCTCTTTGTTAACCTTCTGTTTCGAGCATCTAACAACCGAAGCTAACGATCGTCATCACTTGTCCAACATTTTATTTTTTGTTCAAATTTCGCAAAATTGACAAAATTTAAAAGTTTCTGGTTTAAATGACAATCGATTGGGAATTCAATTACGAGCACAGGAAGGTATGACACTCTGCTTTTCGATCATTATTTCCAATGTTTCGGCCAAAATACTGATATTTTAGGGTGAAAAATATGGATTCGAGTTTTTGACAAAATAACTTTACAACCACCAACACCCACACCAACTTCGATGTCGATGCACTACATCTTGGGGTCCGGTTCCATCCATTGACATCCCATTTTATGAATCTCCTAAAATCACTTCACAACCACCAACACCCACACCAACTTCCGGTCAACTGATTTATCGGCTACCATAGCACCTAGGTCATGAATTTTAAGCTAGAACTAGTTGGGAATTATATGTTCCCACCGAGAGAATATTTTTAGATTGACAATATCGATGACGTGGCCCATTGTAAATTTCATTAGTTTTGCAATTAACAGTCGTAATTTGGACAAATGAAGCCTGACAGTTTAACGAATGACTGTTTTGAACAGCTAACAACCTAAGCTAACGATCCCCATCACTTTTGGAAAAAATTAATTTTTTGACCAATTTTTGCATTTCTTATAAGTCATTTTGTAAATAAATACCTAATTAAGGGACATACCTGGACAGGATTACGATGCACTGCATATTGGAGTCCAGTTCCATCCAGATGACATCCTAATATGTGAGTCTCCTGAAGTCACTTCACAACCACAAACACCCACACCCACTTCCGGTCAACTGATTTATCGGCTACCATAGCCCCTAGGTCATGCATTTTAAGCTAGAACAAGTTGGGAATTATATGTTCCCACCGAGAGCATATTTTTAGATTGACAATATCGATGACGTGGCCCATTGTAAATTTCATTAGTTTTGCAATTAACAGTCGTAATTTGGGCAAATAAAGGCCGGCAGTTAAACGGGCGACTGTTTTGAACAGCTAACAACATAAGCTAACGATCCCCATCACTTTTGGGGAAAATAAATTTTTCACCAATTTTCGAATTTTTGATAAGGGGTTACATCATAATTTTTTGCAAAAAATTGACAAAATTGAAAAGTTTTAGGTTTGAATGCCAATCGTTTGGCAATTCAATTACGAGCTCAGCAAGGTATGACACTCCGTTTTTGGATCATTATTTCCAATGTTTCGGCCAAAATACTGATATTTGATATTTAAGGGTGAAATATATGGAATTTTAGGCAAAACTAAACGTTTTTGGAGCTTTTTACCTAATTAAGGAGCATACCTGGTAAGGAGGTCGATACTCTGCATCTTGGAGTCCAGTCCATCCAATTTATGAATCTCCTAAAATCACTTCACAACCACCAACACCCACACCAACTTCCGGTCAACTGATTTATCGGCTACCATAGCACCTAGGTCATGAATTTTAAGCTAGAACTAGTTGGGAATTATAAGTTCCCACCGAGAGAATATTTTTAGATTGACATTATCGATGACGTGGCCCATTGTAAATTTCATTATTTTGCAAGTAACAGTCGTAATTTGGACAAATCAAGGCCTACAGTTAAACGGCCGACTGTTTTGAACAGCTAACAACCTAAGCTTACGATTTTCGCATTTTGGATAAGGGGTCATGATCATCATGATTTTTTGCAAAAAAAATTGACAAAATTTAAAATTTCTAGGTTTTAATACCAATCGATTGGGAATTCAATTACGAGTTCAGCAAGGTATGACACTCCGTTTTTGTATCATTATTTCCAATGTTTCTGCCAAGATACTGATATTTTAGGAAGGAAAACATGGATTCGAATTTTATACAAAAAGAAACCTTTTTTTTTGCGGTTTTTCAGTTGTCATTTTGGCAAATCAAGGCCGACAGCTAAACGCCCGACTATCCCCATCACTTTCCGAACAATTTATTTTTTGATAAATTTTCGCTAGATTTTGGGGTTTTTTGACGCTCTAATTTTTAGAAATATTTATTGAGCAAGTTTAGGGATTTTTTTTCGCAAATTATATTACCTAAATGTTTGGAAAAAGCACTACAAAATCAAACATATAAACAAAAAAACTTTACACACGGCTCTCCTTTCGAGTACACAGATTTTTTTTATTTTAACATTTCTACATCATATTGAGATATTACTTATTTCTTGTACATGTTCGAAACTAACTGATTTTTTGAATTTTGGTGGATGGCTGGATTTTTTAGGGGGAAATATCGACTGTATGAGATTTTTAGAGGGAAAGTAGGGATGTCAAATATTTTAAAAATATCGTATCGCTGATATATTTTCTTTAAGAAAAATATCAGTATGATATATAATATAGCGCCAAAAAAACATCGATATATCAGATACTTTTGATATTTTTTTTTCAGTTGAATTTCAAAATTTTAACCGCGTAAATAAGCTAACAACAAAGACTTTTGCCCTAAAATTAATGTAAAAGCACTAGAAAAGTATAAACAATATAATACGTTTTATGAAATTTCTTATTTTATTAGCTCCACACATAAAAGTTTTTGTTTTTCAAGTGGGATAACATTTTTGATGTATTCCCACATGTTTTAATAGTTTTAAAACAAAGTTTGCACTTAGTTTTTTGTTATTAAATTCACCGAAATAAATTTTAACACGCTTCATTTTTTTGTGCACAGATGAGAGAAAGATATGCAAATATCAAATAATATCGAAAAATAAAATATCGATATTGTGATATTTGGCTAAATAAATATCACGATATAAATATATTTTTTTTTGCAAAAAATATCGATATATTGATATTTTGATATATTTTTGACATCCCTACTTTTAAATCGTTAAAATGTAATATGCGTACATTTTTAAACCATTTGCTCTCTTTGTTAACCTTCTGTTTCGAGCATCTAACAACCGAAGCTAACGATCGTCATCACTTGTCCAACATTTTATTTTTTGTTCAAATTTCGCAAAATTGACAAAATTTAAAAGTTTCTGGTTTAAATGACAATCGATTGGGAATTCAATTACGAGCACAGGAAGGTATGACACTCTGCTTTTCGATCATTATTTCCAATGTTTCGGCCAAAATACTGATATTTTAGGGTGAAAAATATGGATTCGAGTTTTTGACAAAATAACTTTACAACCACCAACACCCACACCAACTTCGATGTCGATGCACTACATCTTGGGGTCCGGTTCCATCCATTGACATCCCATTTTATAAATCTCCTAAAATCACTTCACAACCACCAACACCCACACCAACTTCCGGTCAACTGATTTATCGGCTACCATAGCACCTAGGTCATGAATTTTAAGCTAGAACTAGTTGGGAATTATATGTTCCCACCGAGAGAATATTTTTAGATTGACAATATCGATGACGTGGCCCATTGTAAATTTCATTAGTTTTGCAATTAACAGTCGTAATTTGGACAAATGAAGCCTGACAGTTTAACGAATGACTGTTTTGAACAGCTAACAACCTAAGCTAACGATCCCCATCACTTTTGGAAAAAATTAATTTTTTGACCAATTTTTGCATTTCTTATAAGTCATTTTGTAAATAAATACCTAATTAAGGGACATACCTGGACAGGATTACGATGCACTGCATATTGGAGTCCAGTTCCATCCAGATGACATCCTAATATGTGAGTCTCCTGAAGTCACTTCACAACCACAAACACCCACACCCACTTCCGGTCAACTGATTTATCGGCTACCATAGCCCCTAGGTCATGCATTTTAAGCTAGAACAAGTTGGGAATTATATGTTCCCACCGAGAGCATATTTTTAGATTGACAATATCGATGACGTGGCCCATTGTAAATTTCATTAGTTTTGCAATTAACAGTCGTAATTTGGGCAAATAAAGGCCGGCAGTTAAACGGGCGACTGTTTTGAACAGCTAACAACATAAGCTAACGATCCCCATCACTTTTGGGGAAAATAAATTTTTCACCAATTTTCGAATTTTTGATAAGGGGTTACATCATAATTTTTTGCAAAAAATTGACAAAATTGAAAAGTTTTAGGTTTGAATGCCAATCGTTTGGCAATTCAATTACGAGCTCAGCAAGGTATGACACTCCGTTTTTGGATCATTATTTCCAATGTTTCGGCCAAAATACTGATATTTGATATTTAAGGGTGAAATATATGGAATTTTAGGCAAAACTAAACGTTTTTGGAACTTTTTACCTATTTAAGGAGCATACCTGGTAAGGAGGTCGATACTCTGCATCTTGGAGTCCAGTCCATCCAATTTATGAATCTCCTAAAATCACTTCACAACCACCAACACCCACACCAACTTCCGGACAACTGATTTATCGGCTACCATAGCACCTAGGTCATGAATTTTAAGCTAGAACTAGTTGGGAATTATAAGTTCCCACCGAGAGAATATTTTTAGATTGACATTATCGATGACGTGGCCCATTGTAAATTTCATTATTTTGCAAGTAACAGTCGTAATTTGGACAAATCAAGGCCTACAGTTAAACGGCCGACTGTTTTGAACAGCTAACAACCTAAGCTTACGATTTTCGCATTTTGGATAAGGGGTCATGATCATCATGATTTTTTGCAAAAAAAATTGACAAAATTTAAAATTTCTAGGTTTTAATACCAATCGATTGGGAATTCAATTACGAGTTCAGCAAGGTATGACACTCCGTTTTTGTATCATTATTTCCAATGTTTCTGCCAAGATACTGATATTTTAGGAAGGAAAACATGGATTCGAATTTTATACAAAAAGAAACCTTTTTTTTTGCGGTTTTTCAGTTGTCATTTTGGCAAATCAAGGCCGACAG